GTTCAGCCGGCCCAGGCTAGATTTGAACCAGCCAGCCTCGGTGTATGAGGCTGGCACTATAACCATTGTGCTATGGAAGCTGAGCCGAAAACGTTTAGATTTTTTTAAGATTACCTGGAGGGGGCTGGGTGTGGTGGCTTATGCCTATAATCTCAAAACTCTGGGAGGCCAAGGAGGGTGGATTGCCTAAGCTCAGGAGTTCAGCCTGAGCAAGAGTGAGGCCCTGTCTCTAAAAAATTTTATCCGACGTTGGGCAGTGCCTGCGGCTCAGTGGGCAGGGCGCCAGCCCCATATATCAAGGGTGGCAGGTTCAAACCGGCCCCGGCCAAACTGCAACAAAAGAATAGTCAAGTGTTCTAAATAGCTGACATCATAGCAGGCTTCTGTAGTCCCAGCTGTTGGGGAAGCTAAGGCAAAACAATAGCTTGAACCCTAGAGTTGGAGGTTGCTGTGAGCTATGACACCATAACACTTTACCAAGGGTGACAAAGTGAGACTGTCTCAAAAAGAAAAAATATTGATCTAGAGGAAGGAATGCTATATCGAAATTTGGTACCTTTTGAGTCTTTACTTTCATAATGTATTGTAGAACATGGGAAAATCATCTGTAATTTTTCTTTTTTTTATGTTTATGTTTTTGAGACAAAGTCTTAGTTCTGTTTGCCCCAGGCTAGAGTGCATGATCGCTCACAGCAACCTCCAACTCCTGGGCTCAGGCGATCCTCTTGCCTCAGCCGATCCTCTTGCCTCAGCCTCCTAGCTGGGCTTACCTCAGCCTGCAGAGTAGCTGGGACTATAGACACACGTGACTACACCTGGCTATGTTTTTCCATTTTTAGTAGAAACAAGATCTTGCTCTTGGTCAGGCTGGTCTTGAACTCCTGAACTCAAGGGATTGTTCTGTCTCTGTTTCCTAAAGTGCTAGGATTATACGCGTGAGCATAATTTTTCTTTTGAAGTAGTAGCCTTCAGAGATCACATGAGGTTAACTGAAGTGTATATAAAACTCCTGTGATTCTTCACAGGAAATAACATTTAAATTTGTGTCATCTTAGATGAAGGAACGGGACTTGTGTTATGTAAATGAATGTCTGTTTACATTCGGTTTACATTTATTCTCTCCTGAACTTACATGTGGCACTAACTCTGGCATTTCTAGCTGGGCAGATGCACAGAGTCAGCTCAAGCACATAGAAGCAGCGTTTGACCAAGAGGCCGCAGCAGTCTTGATGGCGCGGCTTGGCGTATTCCGAGCGGAGTCAGAAGAGGGGCCTGATGTGCTCAGGTGGCTGGACCGGCAGCTCATCCGACTGGTAAATTAGGGACTATGGCATTAGGTTTGGTCCTGGTCTCTGCTGTACTCCTGAAAGAAGAAAATTGTCACTTAAACCTGTTATTTTATGTAGTCAGTCAGCAAGAATTTACCAGTTGCTTATCTTAAGCCCAACACTGGGCATTTACAAAGGGAGTGTTAAATGTGCACTCGGATTAACATTATTTAGGGGAAGAAAACACATAGAACATTCAGAGAGATGCAAATCTATTCGTGATAAGAGTTGAATTAGATGAATCAGTTTGTGAAGGCTCCGTGGTCCTGTGTTTTTCCTCCAGATCCAGGAGATGGTTTTTGAAATAGGGATCCAGGCCTGGTGAGTTTAGGAAGATGCATCATTTATTAGTCTGGGTAAAATTGACAGGGAGAAATCACATGGTAATTTAAACAGGTAAAGTTTGGGGCTCACCCAGTATGATCCTCAAGTCCCTTCTTCATGGCCTCTCTCCTGTGATGGCAACCTACGACATCATCCTGAGCACCTGGGAAGTGATCATATTGATAATGTTTGGAATATTTTTCAATGTCCATTCCACTGTGTAATTCAGGACATTCCCTTCACAGAGAAAGATTTTGAGAATGGCCCTTAGGACATGTATAACCTTTATGAGTAAGTTACCCACAACTGTTTCATCATCAAGGGCCTTTAGCTCTTCCTCTGAGGCTTCTCTTTCTGCCAAGTTTGGCTCAATAAGCTCAAGGAATATATACGGTGTGCTAAGAGCATGATCCGGTTTCCCCTTTCCAGGCTCTTCCTCTATTTAAAGACTCCACCCTTACCCATTCTAGCACCGTCTCAGGGACTGGGTTTCCCTGGCTAGAGACTGAATCCCTTGTTCCCCCAGAGCCCCAGAGGAGGGGAACGGAGGCTGGCTGTTCACTCTCTCCCCAGCTCCCTTGCTTGTCTTGTATAGGCGATAAAGAGAATCTGCTCTCTCTCTCTTTTTTTAAAAATAGTGTCTCACTATGTCACCCTCAGTAGAGTGCCGTGGCATCACAGCAACCTCAAACTCTTGGGCTTAAGCGAGTCTTTTGCCTCACCCTCTGGAGTAGCAAGGACTACAGGCATCTGCCACAATGCCCTTCTATTTTCTTCTTGCAGTTGTCATTATTGTTTGGCAGGCCCAGGTGGGACTCGAACCCGCCAGCCTCGGTGTAGGGGGCCAATGCTCTACCCACTGAGCCATGGGTACCACCGAGAGTTTGCTCTCTTAAAGAAAATAAATAAATGAAATTTAAAATAAATAAATGGGTAAAGTTTTATAAAAAGCATTTACTACAACAGGGGAGTAAAATAATGAGGGACTGGCTAGTAAGAAGTAAAGAGAACTGGTATATAAGGCGGGAGGTCCCTACTTCTTGGGCTGGGGTAGAGCACCCAAGGAAGAACCTCCCCCCAGGGCGATCCAGACCTAGTTAGAGGGCATAGCCATGTCTCAGGGAGTCTTTTGTGGAGAAGTGAGCATGGTGCTGTGCTAGAGAAATTTGTTAGAAATTCACTGTCTAGAATTTGAAGAAAATCCACCCTCAGGGGTGCCAAGGAAAGCTGCTCATGGGAAGTTGTGTGTCCAGAAGCACATGGGGGTGCTGGGGTAGCTGCTGGCTGCAGCATCATAGAGGAGCTTGGCACTGGGGTGGGGACTCACACCAGGAAGGCTTCTAAGAGAGCCCTGACTTCCAAAGGCGATGCTTGCCTCCAATGCCTTCTGCAGATAAAGTTTGACATCCTGCCCATTGGCAAAGGAAAAGTAGTTCAAGGGCCCACATCCATTTCACAGCAGCCAAAGGGGGTGAATTTGGAGCTACGAGGCAATAAATCAGCAGTTGGCACTCGACCTAATCTTACCTTCTTAGAGTTTCAGAGCCTGTATTTGTGATCAAGGGCACTGAAGGACCCCTGGTAAGGAAACCAGTTTAACCTTTTTAGCCTTGAATCAGCTTTTTTGATAAAGAGGAGGATACTAGGAAAGGAGTGGGCGGTGCCCTTTGCTGTGGGCAGGGCGCTGGCCACATACATCCGGGCTGACGGGGTCGAATCCAGCCCTGCCCAGCTAAACAACAAAGACAACTGCAACAACAACAAAAATAGCCGGGTGTTTTGGTGTGTGCCTGTAGTCCCAGCTACTTGGGAGGCTGAGACAAGGGAATCGCTTAAATTTAAGAGTTTGAGGTTGCTGTGAGCTGTGATGCCACAGCAAGCTACCCAGGGCAACAGCTTGAGACTCTGTCTCAAAAAAGAAAGAAAGACAGAAAGGAGTTGGAGGCCTGGCATGAGCAAGCATGGGGAGGTAGCTGTGCTTTTCATCTTACGTTGAGGATATTACAGAGAGCACAGTTGGAGGAGGCAAGGTTATGCGATGAGGAACAGAGGTACTGAAGGCCCGCTTGGATGGGGGAACAAGCTATCTCTAAAAAGGAGACTTAGGGGTGATTCTTAAACTGAGTGTGACATCAGCATGTGAGGCATGGCAGAGTCTCCTAGTTCTTGGGAGCAATGCAAAGTGACCTGACTACTCCAAAGTACTGCAGTTCTGGAGGCCCAGACACGGTGGGAGTGTGGCCCTGACTCCAGGTACCAATGGGTATTTATTGAAAGTCAGAACAAAGAAGTGTAAGGAAAAAGTTACCATAAATGTTACACAGTGTAGCGGGATGTGTAGGAAGTGCAGACGTGGCTTTCCCTGACTAGTGTCTGCCTTAGCCATTTCTGCAACCAGCTGTTGCTGCTAACACACATGCCCTCTTTCTCACTGCATGTGACTGCTGGTTTGTTGCAGTTCACAGGTGGAGCTAATGTCACAAGTCAGCAACTTGTCCTGCTGCCCTGGGCTCCTGTTCCCTTTGCATATCTTGGGATGTCTTTGTTGTGTGTTTTCCCACACACATTAGTGATGGCTGGAGGGATCTTTCCTACTTTGTTTCACAGTCACAGAGTAAGCACGGAAGTGCAAGGTTAAGCATAACAGGACTACAGTGGTTACATTCCTCCATGATCATTATGGAGGAAAGTTATGAAATAATCTTCATAAAGGACGATTGGCATTTGTTCTCCCACAGGCATGATACTTTGTTCACATTTAACATCATAAAAACTGCATAGCAAGGGAAGAGTCTCCTGTCCTGATGAAGGGTTTTTTAGGCACTGAGACAGGTATTTGGCAGTAGAAATGGAAGGAGCAGGATTGGAATTAGGATGTACACCGAAAGAATTGAAATAACTGTGTGGAATCAGAAACCAAAAACTCAGCCCTGAGCATGCCCCCAGGTGTGGATGACCACAAGAGTGGAGGTGAGGTAGAAAATGGGAAAGGAGCACAACTTAGGGTGGGAGAAAGTGAACAGTTTAATGTCACTTTATTTTTGATAAGCCGAATCTGCACTTGCAGATGTGTATGCCCGGAAATGTGTCGGGTATTTAGGTGACTGATGCTCAGTCTACAGGTGCTCAGGGTCTTAGAGGGTTTTCATATGGAAAGGAGTTAGAAAGAGTTCATGGAGCTCTCTGCCGTCAGGTGGTCCTCAGGCCAGCACTGCCTGGGAAGCGGTTAGAGATGCAGAGTCTCCAGCTCCTCCACAGAGCCCACATTTTAACAAGAACCCCTTGGTAAATTTTCTCTCCTTTAATCCTTGAGAAGTGCAGAACTCACAGTAAGTGGCAGAATTAAGATTGAACAGAGCTCTTAGTGCAGGGTTTTTTGCAGGTAACACTAACTTAGATTTTTTTCTCTTTGTGGTATTTTGTTTCATCAGTGTCAGAAGTTTGGACAGTATAACAAAGAAGACCCCACTTCTTTTAGGTTATCAGATTCCTTTTCTCTATATCCTCAGGTAAGTAATGTATATTTTAAAAATAACTATAAAACAGGTGGCACCTGTGGCTCAGTGGGTATGGCGCTGAGGCCCCATATACCGAGGGTGGCGGGTTTGAACCCAGCCCCGGCCAAACTGCAACAAAAAATAGCTGGGCATCATGGCGGGCGCCTGCAATCTCAGCTACCTGGGAGGCTGAAGCAAGAGAAGAACCTGAGCCCAGGAGTTGGAAGTTGCTGTGAGCTGTGCTGCCACCACACTCTACTAAAGGCAACAGAGTGAGACTGTATCTTAAAAAGAAAAACAAAAAAACCTACAGAACAGTAAATTGTGATAGAAATAAGCAAATCTGTCCTCAGGGTAAAGTGAAGACTTTGTGTTTTGAAACTCGGTCTGCAACGCCCATAGCACAGTGGTTAAGGTGCCAGCCACATGCACTGAGGCTGGTGGGCTTGAACCTGTGCAGGCCTGCTACCCAACAACTGTAGCAAAAAATAGCTGGGCATTGTAGCGGGCATCTGTAATCCCAACTGCTTGGGAGGCTGAGG